AATATTTTAATTTAATTTGCATTAATGGGCCTGACATATATTGATTGAAGACTGCATGTTTAAATCTACTACATAATACTATGAAATCCATCCAAACTTCTGTCTGAGACTCATATTAGAATAAATGGTCCTTATGGTGCAAAAAATACGGTATATATATATATATATAAGAATATTTAATTTTAATTTGCATTAATGGGCCTGACATATATTGATTGAAGACTGCATGTTTAAATCTACTACATAATACTATGAAATCCATCCAAACTTCTGTCTGAGACTCATATTAGAGTCAAATAAATGGTCTTTCAGCACTTATCATTATATAATTTTTCCCTATAAAAGAAAACACTTAGAAGCCAAACTCCGGTCAATTGCCAAAGTACTGCAGACATGCTGAAAACAAATCAAAAATACAACCTAGTGCGATTAGCTATTTATGATCCAGGCAGCTCCATCCTAACAGTAAACTACTGTTATTACCTTCCAAGAATTTTCTGGACTATCATTCCTATCAATCCTAGCCAGAACAGTCAACAGCAGGGGCTGATAGAAGTTGCCATCTATCAGCGTCAGGAGGGCCATACATTCCCGACTCTGTATTATACACTTTAATATCTACTTAAAAGCAAACCAGCAGGCTTGCTCCTGGATACCTGCCAGCTCCTGTTCCAAAATCAATAGAGATCTTCATTTAGCTCTTCCATCTAGAGACATGAATCTGTTGCCATCATTAAGTAACCTGAACCCATTCATGAAATCAGGTTGTGAGATAAGAAGTATGTTGCGACTGTCATAGTGGCTCTAGACAGAAAATAGTTCCGCTGCATTCCTTACCGAACACAAAGGATATCAAAATTTGAAGTGACCGGATGGGCTTTTGCGCACTGGACCAAAATATTTTGCTGCCCAAAATGATGGAAAAGATCGCATTCAATGTATAAAAGCCCAAGAGACTAACAACGGAATTGTATTTCAGTGCTAGTGAAAGGAGCCTTGTGGCACAGTGGTTAAATTGCAGTACTGTAGTGAAGACTGCTCATAACCTTAAGTCAGTCCTGATGGGCTCAGGTATCTGGCTCAAGGTTGACTCAACTTTCCATCTTTCTGAGACTGGCAAATTGAGTACCCAGAGAGAGCTTTAAATATTATGGGGCAGTAA